CTCTCTCTCTCTCTCTCTCTCTCTCTCTCTTTTTGCAGGATTTTCTATAGATCGAGTGCTCGATTTAATGCTCGCCTAAACAGACCGTGAAGAACACGGTAATTTCTCTCAATGAAAATGAAATTTTCGGCAATGTTTCGAACGGCTTTTTCCAGCTAATTTCTATTTTATAGCTAATAAGATTGATAGCGCGAGACTATGACTTGTGAAAGCGGCGCGGATGAAACGCCGCAGCGAAAATTCATTTCATTTAACTTTTGATGGAATGCTGCCAGCACATCTAGGAGGAATTTCATTTGAATAAATAAACTTGTCCCGTGGATAATGAAATAGTTGAACAGTGGTAGTAAAGATCACCAAGCGTGACGTTGACGTCCTACTTTTGCCCTCGATTATCAACTACAGATTATAGTTTACTCCCATTCGTCCATTGAACGAATACGGCCTGTTTTATTATTCTTCCGATTCAGCAATTGATTTCAAATTAACGTGAAATGTCAATATCCGTACGCTGGTAAAATGAAAGTTCACTTTACCAATTTTCAAATGTACACATTCGGTGTCACGGCTGTCAAACAAATATATCCGAGAACATGAATGTCACATCGGGGAATGAAAATTACGATGACACGATTCCATTCGATCTAGATGGAATGGTTACAAAGAAATAAATGTGCAACGTAACGACGAGGTTTTCCGGAAGAATCAGATCGGTACCAGGCTTACGCGACTACTTGCCACTCGCGGACACAAGACATTAACAATAAGTAGGCCAAGTAGACTTATTAGACTGAAAGAAGGCTTTGCTAATCAAGCCACTACCAATTACGTTATCGTCAACCTTACTCTTAAATTGCTCTTTTAACAGCATCCCGCCTTCATAGATTCTCCATGATTCATTGTTAATTTCATTTTACAATTTGCAAAGCTTCAAAAATATCGAACGCCAGAATTGAAGATTAAAAATTTAGTCAGTTGTCCGTGTATTTAAAATTAAAAACTTACAAATTTGACTTGAAGTTAGCTTTTTTTTCACCGGGAAAGAGAACACAATCCATTATCGATGTTATTTATAGGAAAACACTGAGACATGCGAAATGAGTTTGAGCAAAAACCAGCGCGCGAAAAATTAACAACTGCTGGTGAGAATTTCGCAGACAGATCGCAATAAAAATAGAACAGTTATCTTGCACTAAATAGTAGCTTACGAAGATACTAGTTTTCACTAGTTGAGACTGAAACTTCACCAGAGCTTGTTCTTACACGCGAATTATGCAACGTAACTGGTTGTACGCGTAATGCGTGTGCACGTCATCCACGTGCATGTTTTTACATTTATCCTTAACCTTGGCTACGCAAGTACATATCTATTCCATTGGTATTACAGTTTCTCTTACGTTGGAGGCAATTTGAACTTTTAATAGTCGAGATTAAACGCCTCGAATCGAGTCGAAGACATCGAATCAACATTCGAACATTTGAAACAAACTTCGACGTATGTACCTCGAGCCGGAAATACATTAGATGTAATTTTCTTCGATAAATCTGCCGTGAGTTGCATAAGCTTCGGGAATAT